TGGCTGGGGATGGCATCCGGCGAGGCCCGGGAGAGCCGTGGGTGCTCCTTATCTTCCTTCTTCCCTTCTGCCGCTGCTCCAGGGCTCTGTTCCTCGGTACCCTCCGACGGGCCCAGGTGTGGCACGTGTTACCCTTACACCTGGGCCTCGCTCCCCGCGGGGGCACGGGTCGCGCTGGGCCAGGTTGACAGGGACTCGGTGTCAGACCTGGGCACAGGTGTCCTGGGCTGCTGGCCGCGTAGCTGTGTGTCCAGGGACTTCTCACCTGTAAGACTAGGGGAGATGCTGCCCCCTGCGGGTGCTGCCTGGGGTTGCAGCTCGGACAGGGCGCCCCACGGACCACACCCCGGGCCTGATCTGGATGGCACGGTCCTCCCCTCAGCACGGCAGGCGTCCTCTGACGGCAGCAGCAGGACGGCCTTTGCCCCGGAGCCCCGTGCGCGTCCAGCAACTCCACCGGCCCCGCACACATCCTGGGCCTCCTCAGTGTCTTCTTATGTCTGTTTCCTCTGTCTCAGGTGCCTGCTTTTTAAACAGTGTTTGCATCATCTATCAGTGGACGATAGGAAGGGAAGTCGCTCACGGGTAGACCCGCTAATTCCTTTGAGGCTGGTGAGTTGGGCACCAGTATTCTGCTCTGAACAAACTGCCCTCGAATGTTTTTGCTTCTGACCTGGCACTGCTGTCTGCCACACGCCCGAGATGTCGCTGGGGTGGTGCAGTGTGTCTCCTGCTTGCAGGCCCCCTCCGGGTCACGAGGCCTGTGGTGCTGAGGGCCTGAGCGCCCTGTCGCTTCCGAGCCAGGCTCAAGGTTGGCGGGTCTCAGGACAGGCCCCCAGCCCTGAAGGTGACTCCGAAGCCTGTGCGTGAAGAATCTTTGTGTTCTCTCAGAGTGAAGTGAGCACGCCCCTCTGTGGGCGCCTTTTCACCGACGTGAACAGTCATAGCTGGCTTCCATTTCACACGCCCCAGAATTACAAAGAGTTTAACAGAAGTCAGACCCCGCCGCGGCCATCCGGGCCGGACACCATCCCAGCTCAGCGAGTGGGCGGAGGTCACAGTTCCCCTGGCTGCAGTTATTTCCAGGACTGGGGGTGACCGCAGGGCCTGTCTGCACTGTGGATCAGCTGGAAATGTGGAGATGTGCAGAATGGGGGGCCAGTTCCCCACCAGCAGACAGCCCCCCACTCTGTGAGGCGCCTCCCAGCAGGCCCTGGGCCTCAGCCAGTGTAGGCTCTGGCCTTCTGTCCTGCCAGGGCCACATGCCTACCGCCTGGCGTGCCTTGGGCCGACTCAGTTCTGCCTGGGGATGCCGCCCCGGGGTTGGCTCTCAGGGTGCCTAAGTGGCACCCACTTGGTGCCCACAGGCGGTGTGGGGTTTATTAGCCGTGATGCCAAAGGGGTCCTTCCCTGCGGGACCACCTGGGTGGCCACAGCCAGCTTCCTGGAGCCTGTCCTGTCTCTGCCATGGACTAGCCACGAAGGTCTCAGAGTCTCTCTGTGCCTCAGTTTCCTCCTCTGTAAAAGGAAGGCAGTAATGGCTCCTGCCTCAGAGGCTCTGTAAGGGCTTAGCGCACAGTAGGCACTTGTTTTAGTGGCTATGATTGTTACATGCTCCGTGGATGAGACGGCCTGACCAGGGTGTCAGCATGGGGAAGGCTCGGGTCTGTGTGTGGGGGGGTCCCGAATACCCCTGTGTGGGTGTGAGTGTCGGGTGTGGCTTGGAGAGGCCCCCCCAGTCCTGCTCTTCCGGCTCTCTCACCGTCCGCGCCCGCCCGCTGGGGATGAAGCGTGAGTGTGGAAGGTCAGGGCGGTGGCCCTGTCCTGCCTGCCAGGTGAGTGCAGGCAACACTCGCTCGGGGCCGGAGGGGAGGCTTCTCATGCAAGAGCGGGCCAATGGCTTGCACCCTACCCCTGGACCATGGAGTTGGGGCCCCCACAAGCTAGGATGCCCTGACTGTGTGAAGGATCAGGGTCTGCCCTTCCTCTGCCGGCTGGGTTGGTCAGGAGCCCGGGTTCTGTGGAGAGAGGTGTGAGATAGACAGAACCTGGGTGGAGGAGGGCCTGGGCACAGGAGTGTCTCTCCTCCACTTCCACCACGAGCAGCGGGGCTTTGTGCCCCAGCACCCCCTCCCTGGCCCTCAAGGCCTGAGCCGGGCAGGGCTGGGACAAGAGCAGACGTGTCAGTGCTTGGTCCCCTGCTGCCTGGGGACTCAGTTCCTCAGCTCCCGTCTTAGGAAATAAGGCCTTTGCGGCAGGAGCTTCTGGGTCCATAGAGCTCTGGCTCGAGTGACCTGAAGGCCCCCACGAGGCCCTTGGGCCTGTCCTGGTCCCTGCCTTTGCAGCTGCTGGCACCTCTCAGACCCTGCTTGTTTGGTTCCCATGTCTCTTCTCTGTCCCCAGTACCCCCCTCCCCACTTCAGGCCCCCAGAAAGCAGCGGGGGTGGGAGTGCTTGTCCATGTTGCCATCACTGCTGGGCTGGAGCATCACATTTCAGGGCTGTGATCAGTGCACAGGTACCCATGGGTGCCCGGGCAGGTCCCTCAGCTGTCCAGAGGCCAGGCCGGGGTCAGTTATTCTTCCCCTCACCCCAAAACATACCTCCTATTCTTGGGAGACCAGAGGAGTAGAATTAAGGATGGGTGCTGCGTTGTCTGTCTTTAACACTGAGGCAGATTGTATCAAAGCACAGTCACCTCCGTTTCACAGACAGCCCCCAGGGTTAGGCCCAAGACTCCTGGCCATGATGCCAACATCTGAGGTGTTGGCTGGGCCTGCCCCGTGCGTCCTGGAGGGGCAGCAGGGGCCAAACGGAACCCTTAGGATCCAGCTCCCTCACTGTTACCGAGATTTCAAGTTGCTTTTATTGTTTGGCCACAAAATGGACATGATCTTTGTTGGCCTAACACACCTCCTTGTACTGCTGTCGCCATCCATCTTGCACAATATAAGACAAGGCCAGAGCTTAAACGAAAATCCCCAGCTTCTTATCTCCTTCCCACAGGAAAGCAAATCTGTGTTGAAAACCGTAAAATTAAGAGGAGAGCAAGGGAAGCATAATTTAGCAGAAATTCGTGGCGCCAGATTCTGAGCTCTCTGACTGGAGGGTGAGGTCAGACATTGGGAAGCCGCCGCCTGCTCGCGCAGGCTCCTCGAGGTGGTGCTCGCCGAGGCGGGCGCGGGCCGGGCCTGCAGCCCGGAGGCTTCTGCCTCGCTCCCTGCTCGCGCTGCCCTAAGAAAAGGTCTCGACAGACTGGCCATGATGCGTCCCGGGAGACTTTTGAAATGGAACTGAGCACAGTTGTTCTCAAGTATCCTTGCAATACATCCATCGAGTCCGTTTTGAAAAGGTTCACCCCCGCCCCGCCCCAAACCCCAGCCCCAGCGTTCTCAAGTCTTTGTGTTTAAGAAGCTCAGACTCACTCTGTGCATTCGGCAAACTGCATCATGAACCCCTGCGGCCCACCATGATTTCCCACCTGGCGTGACTATGTACGTGGCCGTGTGTGCTGAGAGAGCAGCAGGGCGGGGCCGAGATCTCGGCGGCCTGGCGGGTGGGCGCGGGGGGCCGCCAGCCCCAGGGCCGCCTGCGGCAGCCACGCTCACACCGTGAGGGCCATCCGGGTGGGGGGGCGCGGCACTGCCCAGAGAACCACCTGCGTTGGCTCTTGCTTGTACGTTTCTTCTGGGTGGAAGTCGCGCTGCGGGGGGGGAGGGCGGGGGGGGGGGCTGCAGAGAATGGCTGTTTCTCGCTGGCGAGAGGAGTGTGCCTGGGCTCAGCGTGCCTGGTTTTCCCGCGGGCAGACCTTCCCGGCGGAGTCGCGCAGCTCGTGATACCTCATGGGCGAAAACGAAACTCTCATGAAGTCCAAGTCCACGTCTGTCACGGGGTGGCCACAGCCGGGGGAAGTGTCGGGGCCCCTGAGACCCCCGCTACGCCGTGAGCGGTTCTCAACTCCAAGTGTGCAGACGTTTGTGACGCAGGCCTGCTTCTGGGGCACCTGGGTTCACTGCGCCTTAGTCTGCCGGTCGGTGGAGATCTTCCTAATTCACGCTAATTGTGGTGAAGGCGCGTCCCACCTGGAGATCTGGGGCGCCTTCCCAATTCATCAGATGCTGATCGCCGAAGTGCGCACATGCTTAGGGCTAGTGTTTCTGCCCAAGACCTCGGGGAGGCTTTCATTTGTAGAAGTGAAAATTCGAAGCCTATTTGGCCGTCGGCGACGGTGTTTCCTGTCCTCTGGGTTGAAACGATGTCCTGATGAGGTGAAGGTGCCTGAGTCCTGTTTCCCTACGGGCTGAGTTCAGGGGCCATTACCGGGGTGGGAGGGGAAATCAACCTTAGCCAAACAAAAGGATCACCCATTTCAAATCGATGAAGTCCAGTAAGTAACCTGAACCTTTAAAAAGTGGCATTGCCTGCTGGGGGCGCGGGGTGAGAGCACAGTGGGGAGTCGCGTGTGCTTGACAAAGCAATACAACACGAAAAACCTTCAGCAGACTCCTGCCGATGTCCAGCTACAGAATTAGGAGTTCTGGAAGCTAAGGGATACTGCTGCAGCAAATTTGCATTTGCTGGGTTGTTTAAATATTTGCCCTTTCAGATTGGCAGGGCGCATTCATTTGTTAGTGAAACAGTATTTTAGCGAGTGCCTTCCTCATGCCAGACACATGTAACGGATAAAGGGCTTATGAAACGCTCTGCACATTTGCCCCAGGGAGTCACCCTGAGGCAGCAGCCGAAGAGGAGCGTGCTGTGAGCGCACAGAGACGCTGGTTGGGACAGAGGGCAGGATCTCCAAAGGTCCTGGGGAAGTGACCGCTGACGCGGAGGGGGAGCCATGTACCTGAGGGGTGCTCGGCTCGATGAGACAGCCAGGATCCCGGGCTGGGTGGGGCTCTTGTGTGCTGTGGTGCCCGTTACTGCGTGGCGTGACCACTTCTTTGGGGACAGGGGCTGGGCCTTGTGTTAACCTCGGACTCTGTGGTTGCTTTGCAGTCCAATAAAGTGCCCGTGGTGCAGCCGTCCCACGCAGTCCACCCTCTCACCCCCCTCATCACCTACAGCGACGAGCACTTTTCTCCAGGATCGCACCCAGCACACATCCCTGCCGATGTCAACTCCAAACAAGGTGAGGAGTCGCCCCCAGGCCGCCTTCCTGCCTTTTAAAGAATTGTTTTATTCTCCTTCGAGGTGAGGTTGGTTCCCAACACTGTGGATGATAGATCCTGAGCTCCCCCCGCCATTTGGCTCCCCACGGCCCCCTTTGATCTGCTTGATTCTGCAGTCAGGTTTCCAGGGTTTGCTTTGGCTTGGCTTGGTCTGTTCCTTTGCTTTGTTGCTTTATAGTCACATGAGTGAAATCTCGAGGAGCCACCTGGCGCCAATCTGCACAACCTCACGGCCCCCCACCACCTTGCTCCCTGTCACTGGGGGGAGGGCAGGACGCATTCGTGGGAGACAAGAGTCATTTATTTGACAGCAACTTTTTGTAAATGCAGAGTTTGTTGCTGATTTTATATTTTAGAATTAAAAAAAAAAAATAACTAGAAGGGCTCTCTCCAGAGTGACAGCTGTGAAAACCCAGGAACCACAGTGTCATCCACGGAGTCCCGCACATCTACTCGCGTCAGTCCTCGGCGCCCCCTGCAGGAGCAGTGGGGGTAGTGTTTCTAAAAGGGTAGAAAAAGGACAGAGTAGATTTTCACTTCAAAAGTTCTCTTTTTGAGGCTTCTTGGCCTATTTAGTTGAATCCCTGTCATGTTTTCTCCTCTTGTTGTTACCTACCAGCACCAGCTTAGATGTAAATAATAATTAAGGTACAAAAGCATCTCTGTTTAAAGTCAAAGCAACAAGAATCTTATTATCGCCACATTCTGCTTCTATTTCATTGACACCGGCACATACAGCCAAGAGGCCAGACAAACCAGATGCCTGCTTTCTGTCTGCATGGGGTGGCGGGGCCGGTCGTGGGCAGGAACTTGGCTCTGCAGCCTTCTCGTCCCTCTACCAGGCAAACCCCAGGGAAGAATTACTCACAGCCTGGCCTTTGCTTCTTCCCGGACCACAACTTGGTCTTTAAAAGTTCAGATGTACCCCGTCCAGCATCCCAACCCCGCCCAGCATCCCAGCCCCGCCCAGCATCCCAGCCCTGTCCAGCCCTGTCTTTGACCTGCAGTGGACAAGCGTAGTAAGGGCACCGACACCTGTGGCGTTCAGAGGCCGCGTCGTCCCTGCAGGAAACACTCGCAGGGGAAAGTCACGTCCATGGGCCTCCCTGGTAAGAAGGAACCTGTGATTCGAGGACTCAGTTTCAGGGGGACGTTGGACTTGAGCCCAAGCACCCTTACGGGGAGGACCTGGAGAACCCCCTCTGCAGACATTGGCAGGTGGCCGCAGCCTCTGCCCTCCCTGCCTGCCTTACTCCACTCCCCTTCACCCAGGAAGTCCAAGGGTGAGAGACTTGCAAGGCCAGGCTGCGGATGGGCAGTGAGGAGGCACGGAGACGGGCGTCTCGGGAGGAAGGTGGCTTGGAGACGCAAGGCCACGCTGTGACCTCAAAGATGCGGCCTCCCGAGGGCCCTCCGCGGCCTGCGGGCCCCTCCCCACAGCAGGCCGGAGCCAGAGACGCCCATCTGGGAGCCAGAGAGAAAAGCCTGGAACCAGCTACGAGCAAAAAGAGCCCAACAGGGCGTCTTAGTTTGCTTTTAACTATTCATTTATTATTTATTTGCGCCTCCAAACTTCTTTAACAAACGCTGCCCAGCTAGAGAAGGCAGCGGTCGCAGGCACGGTCCGAAGTTGTCTGCCGATGCTTTCTTGCAAGTCTTTATTTTGTTCCCGGAATGCACGGCCGCGCCTGCTGCCTGCCGGCCGCTGCAGCCACGCTGTGTGTTGGACTCGAGGGAGCCCTTCCTCAGCTCCGTCTGTATCCTGGACTTGACCGCGTGTCTCTGGGATTCTGGAGCCCTTAGCTTGGAAAGAAGAGAGTCACGTGATTTTGAGTTTGTCGCTTCATGTCAGAGTGACCGAACTCCGCAGTTCCAAGAGAGACTGGTCCAGGACGGGACCCTGACAGGGGTAGGATTTGAACAGCAGACGCCCGATGACGGGCCCGGCGCGGCAGGAGCTGGTGCCGGCCTGGCCTCCCCCCCCAGCCCCAGCAGTGGGTCCTCTGCTGCGGTTCCCGCTCCCTGGAGGCCGCTCCTCCTCCGTTTCTGCCTGGAACCTCTGATGCTGTGTCTCAGGAGCACGGAGGCCGAGGCCTGCAGCGCAGTCAGGACTCGCGGCCTGAGTCCAAGGGTACGAGCCCCGGACGGAACCTGCCAGCACGCCCGGGCGTACCTGCCTGAACGCTCATCGCCACCGAAAAGGGGGGTCCAACACGGCCTTGGACCCTCACTCGGGGTGTTCAAGTTTGCATTTCCATGCGGTTCTTCTCAGGTCTGGGTTTTCTTTTCAGAACTGGGTGGCCCCCCGCTGGAGGCCAAGGTTCGAGGAGTCTCTCAGGCGGGGGAGGCAGCCAGCTGGACAGACTCCTCAGCGATTCTTATGTGCGAGACCCCTCTGCGGGGCTCCCTCAGGCGCACCTGCTGCTCAGCTGACCCTCCCCCGCCCCAGAAACGTTCCCCGGGCATGAATGTTGGGGTCCACAGTGGGAAAAGAGCAGTGGTCGTAGCCTTTACAGTAAGAAAGGAAATTCAAGACTCTTGTCCTAAAACCACAAGGTGATCTCACGCAAGTTCTCTGTGGTGACTGAAGACCTTGCTCTCTCCCACCTACTTCCTGTAGGAATGGAGAAACTGTCCTAACTTCAAAGTCAAAGGAGCATCAACTTTGAAGGCAGCGCTTCTGAAGTCATTCCCACGTGGTCAAGGCCTTCAGTGCCTTTGTAACGTCCGAATGACCTTCACTGGCTTTTAAATGGTGAAAAAGCAGAATCCCTCAGCGCATCTTCTCTCTCTCCTGGTTCCCAGTGTGACCTCCATATTTGTCCAACCACTGAGGGCACATTCTCGGGGGGAAGCCTGGAATTTGTACCTCGACATGTGAGAAAGGTCTTTGAAAGCCAGATTCGTTGTGCACAGAAACTTCCGTGGTTTTGTTCCATTTCGAACCGCTTTCCCCAGGGTGCGCTGGGTCTGAGTCATGACCGTCTGCACTTGTGTGTGTGTGTCGGCCCCTCTGTCCCCCCGGAAAGACTCACACACATAGATGCACAGGGACCGGGTTCAGGCGCAGCTGAGGGCAGCGGCCTCCAGGAAGGCGACGCGGCAGGCCTTTGGCCCGGTCATTCTCCCTGGGAGCGGCTGATCCTGGGCAGCCTGGCCCAGAGCCCAGAGCCCTCGAGCTGAGGAAGAGCCTAGCTGGAGCTGCAGCGGCCGACAGCGCATGAGTCCCGTCACGGGTGACCACTTTGGGGCTGATGATTCCTAATTAATGTCTGATCCTCTGAGGTATCACAGCCCCCAGATCGCGTGTCCAGAAAGGAGGCAGTGAAAACGGGAACAGGGCAGCCGACCTAATCCTGGCCCAGGTTGGGGGGGCGCCCAGAGGAGGAGTCAGGTTGGATTGGGTGTCTGAGGGCCCTCAGGAGCTCCGCACCCCGTACTGTCTCAACCCGTTTACTCCAGCATTGAGATCTAGGGGCGCCAGCCACACTGTGTTAGTGGATCTGATGATGAACGTCACTCCCTTGGGCTTCCGGGGTCACGGCCCGGAGTTTCTGGGGTCCCTGTGGCAGTGACAGCCGGCTGTGCTGCGCATCTGAAGGCCAACCCCTCTGTTTTCTCTCACAGGCATGTCCAGACACCCCGCGGCTCCCGAGATCCCCACCTTCTACCCCCTGTCTCCGGGCGGTGTCGGACAGATCACCCCGCCTCTCGGCTGGTAAGTTCCCGCGCCGCCTGCCGGCGCTGGGCCAGGGGCCCTCCGCTCCCCTCTCCTGTCCTGGGGGGTAGCTTGGCCAACGATAGCGCTTGGGGAGCCGAAGAAACCGCCCACCGGCTAGCCAGGTGCTAACTTTATTTCATTTCCATTTAAAAGATGAAACAACACTCGGGCTTTGAAACGGGTTGAATCAGTTTGCTAGTATGTGTGGAGGACGACGGTAGCTTTGCTTTGAAGCTTCTAGTTTTATGGAATCAATTTGTGGCTTCGGGCGCTGGCTCTGCCCGGCCCGAGTGTGCGGTGCGGTCTTTCTTCTCTCGTTGTATGAACTGCCTCCTTGGAGCACAACTTAGGCGCACTGGGCATCTCTGTGCTGACGGGAGCGAGGGGGGGGCACAGCCCGGGCCCGCCGCGGACTCTGCACGCACCTTCTCATCTCTCAGGAAGGGTCAGTTTGAGTTCACAGTCGTCAAAAAAAGGCGAAAAATGGACGGGGTTGGGTTTTCCTTTCCCTGACTCCAAAGACTGTTCCAGCTTCAAAATTCTTAGCGCTGCCCTCAGCCCCGCGGCAGCGATGCAGGCGCGGGGAAGGAATCGCGCCGGGGAAGGAGGAGATGATGCGGGGCGGTGCCGCCTGTCGTCCTGTCACCGCCAGCCCGGTCCCTCCCCCACCCCGAAAACAGCCGTCCACCCCCTCCTCCTGGCTTTCTGCCCCCGCAGCCCCAGGCACCTCTCTCGCCTCCTCCCCACCCAGCCCCACACACCCTCAGTCCCGATTGTGCGTGCACCTCGCAGCCCGCCTCAGTGGTCCCGCCTGGCGTTGGCTGCCCCGGGCCAGGGACCCTGTGCCGAGGGCCGGGCCGTGCTGGAGGCTGCCAGGGAGGAGCGTGGGCGTGAGACACGCGGGAGGACGGGACCCTGCGGGGCACGGGCACGGGGGATGATGTCCCTGAGGGCATGGGCCGGGGAGGGAGGTGCAGGGTTTGTAAATACTTTTTCATTCCTCTTTTTCTCTTTCTTTCCTTCCCTGCAACCCTCAAAGTGCCTGACAGGACACACCCTGCAGGCACGCGCGCCACGCGGGCTCCTGTAGTCCGCAGCCATGTTAGGCGCCTCGGGGGGAGGGAGGGGGCATGAAGGCTGGCGATGGCGGGAGCTGCTGTTCGATGCCCTGCTGGGGTGGAGGGGCAGCACGGGGAGCGAGGACGCACTGAAGGGCGCCCGGTCAGTCCCCCAGCGCCTGCCCCCCCAGCTCACTCACGCCCGGTAGCCCGTGCTTTGTCATTGATGGGTTCCTTTCTTCTGTGACCTCAGGCAAGGTCAGCCTGTCTATCCCATCACGGGAGGATTCAGGCAACCCTACCCGTCCTCACTCTCAGTGGACACCTCCATGTCCAGGTAGGTGGGGAGGCCCCGCCCAGGACCGGCCGCTGTCCTGCGCTTGCATCCCGCGCTCTGCTTGCCTCTCGGCCGCGGCGAGGAGGGCGCAGGGCCCAGCCGCGTCTGTCTGCAGCGTGCCTGGCTCCCACACTAGGTGTCCCGGGGCTCCGGGCCGGCCCCAGCCGCACCCGCGGGCCCTGGTGTCCCCCAGGGGAATCCGCCGCCCCCCACCCCAGGGGAGACTGGCGCTGGCTGCGCGCCTCAGCCTCGAGGACCCTCGTCCCCGCCAAGGCGGCGGTGTGCGATGTGCCAGCTCGTCCAGAGCCCCTGGACCCAGGCGGCCACCCGGCAGCTGACGGGGCTCCCCGGCGGGAGGCGGCGCGGCGCCCTAGTGTGCGAATCAGGCCCTGCGGACCCCGGGTGCAAGCTCGCTCGGCCGCCCGCGCTGTGCCCCCGCACCCCGCTTTGCTTCGGGAGGATGGCTGGGGTGCGGCGCCCGCGGCGTGCGCTGCGCGTGGTGTGGCTCTGTGGAGGGCGCGGGGGTGGGGGCCGCGCCCGGTTGTGAGCTCTGCTTTTCTTTTTCGGTGTGAACCTCGCAGTGTCTGTGCTGAGTTTCAGCTTTGGGGGGGAAAAGCCCCAGGAGTTGTTGCACACGTCTCTCTAGCTGCTGGGGAGGGGCCGACAGGACCCCCCACCGCCCCCCCCCGCCCAGGGACACCTTCCCCGGAGCTGTGGGAGCTGCGCGGGTGCTCCCGGCCGAGCGGGCGGTGGGTCTGCCCGGCGCTCCTCGGGCACTGAGGATGTGGCTCTGGAACCCTCCGGGTCCGGGCCACCTCATCCTCTCCGCCCAGATGAGGGCATGGGCCGCTCAGCTGCCAGCCGAGGCCTGCGAGGAGCGTTCACGCCAACGTTTACTTTTGAGTTGGAAAAGCAAAGTCTGAAAGCACCTCCAGCTTCGCCCGCAGCGCTGCGGGGAGCGTGTCTGGCTGGCTGGCCCCGCTGGCGGCTTCCCTCCCCGTTGGGGGCGCTGGGAATCTTAAGGGCTTTTTTATGTCCCACAAGCGTATTGGGCACAAGCCTCTGGCTGCAGCCATTTCACCCTGAGGACAACGGTGTCCTCCCCTTCGGGGAACCCTCCCCTCCCGCTCCCCGGGGTCCAGAAGGCGAGGACCCCACCCGCCCTCGTTTCTGTGGATACTTCCAGATGGCGCAGAGGCGCCTGAGCGAGTCGGCCTGCAGAAGGGGCCTGTCCCTCTCGGGCTCGGTTGTGCCGCCACTGCCGGCCGAGCCGTCGCCTCACGGGCTGCTTCGCCCAGGAATGCTTCCGCTTTTATGTCAAAAGCACTGAAGATGCTACAGCTCCTGGGGTTATCATTCCCAGAATGGCTCTTACTGAAATTCCTCTCCGGTGGCTGCTGTGCAGGAAAAGTGTCTGTCTAAATCCTGTGGCCTAGCGCTTGCCCAGGGAAAATGCCAGATGCCGCCCTTCGCTCCAGAGAGCAGTTCTGCCAGTCAGGGACTCCCCGGTTTGCGCTGGCGGGGGCGGGACACACGGCCAGGCCGGGCGGAGCAGCGTGGGGCTCGGCGGGCTGGCGGCGGGCGGGGGCGGCCACGCAGCTAGTCCAGAGCCGCCTCTGCTTCCTCCCCAGGTTTTCCCACCACATGATTCCTGGCCCTCCCGGCCCCCACACAACTGGCATCCCTCATCCCGCTATCGTAACGCCTCAGGTCAAGCAGGAGCACCCGCACCCCGACAGCGACCTAATGCACGTGTGAGTAGCCGCGGCGGAGGGGCGAGGTTCCCCCCTGCGCCCCGCGGTGGTCCGAGGGCTGGGGGACGTGCCCACGGAGTCGCGCCGTGCTCGTGTGGGTTGAGGCCGGATGGGGCCCAGGGACCGCCCCACGCGGCCACCGTCTCCGCCACCTCGAGCTGCGGGCCCCTTCACTAGCCGGGGGTCCCCGGGAGTGCTGAGCCCCGCGGACGGCGGCTGTAGGTACCTTGAGGCCGAGCTCCGCTGCTCTCAGCCGTGGGTCCCGCCGGCCCGGGGTGGTCCCGGCTGTCACCGCAGGGCTCACGCCCCTGAAGACATGAGCCCCTCCGTTTCTGAACCTGGGTGTGGGCGGGCTGGGGGGCAGGGAGCACGACCGTCCACAGGCCCCGACAGCGCAGGCCAAGCCAGCGTTCCTGTGCGGGGCACAGTCTACTGCCTCGTCGGGTTCTCAAACGAGGGCCTTGACACCCCCGAAAGTAAGAGGAACGGTGCCCGAGGCGGCCGTGTGTCAGCTTTGTCGAGAGGATGGAGGGGTGACGCCCAGGTCCGGGGGCTGGTAAACGCGTATGTAGGTGAACTTTCTCCAACCAAAGGCTCCTCGTTCCCCGGGGAGTCCCTGAGTTGATCTTCCGCGCTGCAAGGCGGGGGGCGTAGAGCACCCTGGCGCCTGTCCCCAGCCTGGCTGCTGTGGGTGTGCAAAGAGGGGCTTGCTTCTCTCCTCCCACCCCTTCCGTGACACCCCACATCCACCTTTCAGGAAGCCTCAGCATGAACAGAGAAAGGAGCAGGAGCCCAAAAGACCTCACATTAAGAAGCCTCTGAACGCTTTTATGTTATACATGAAAGAGATGAGAGCAAACGTCGTCGCCGAGTGCACGCTGAAGGAAAGCGCCGCCATCAACCAGATCCTGGGCAGGAGGGTAAGTGGGGCGCGCTCTGGGCCAGTCCAGGGGAAGGCGGGGCTCAGCGATGGAAAGCGCTGGAAACAGCTCTCAGCGAGTACTGTTCTGCTCGTGCTCACGCGGCAAACGTTACGCAGGACGTGTTGTGTCTGCCGGGCACCGTGGTGGCTGTAGCACGCCTCCGTGGAGCACAAAGTGTGCCGACAACCCAAATCTCAGCTAGGCGGGGCCCCGGTACGTAGAGTGGTGACAGTACTGCTCGTGTCGAGAGCAGGGGTCTCAGAGATAGGAACGGGATGATGACGGAGGGCCCAGGGCAGAGCCATGTGAGGCAGCTGTTCGGAGTAATCAGTGACCAGCAGCCCTCCAGATAGAGAGGACAGGAAAGTGGAGCTTGAGTGCCATGCTTCTGGATGAGAGGGCCCAGGGAGCAGAGTTCCTTCACCTTTGGATGGAAGAGTCTTGAGAGAGAGTTCCAACAGTCTTTATTCTAGCAGATTCAGGCAGACAGCTGGAGATGAGCATTTTGAAATGCTTACAGTCCAGTTAGTACCATCACCAACTAATTACTCTGGTGATGACAGCTGTGTTGCCCGCCTCTCTTAGCCACTTCCCCATGATCTAACGTGGGCACCTGCTGCATCTTTAGAGTGTGCGCGGGGCCCTGAGTGGTCAGCCGCGCCTGGCGCGAGGCTGAGCCAGGCAGACACTTGGCCTTCTGGCCGGAGGCAGAAGTCTAGCTCTTTGCAGGTGCTTTTCTCTGGCTGGAAATGGTTGCAGTCGCGGGTACATGACCAGAAGTGGAAAAGCTCTGACCTGCCTCTAATTCCGCTGACAGCGCTAGCACAGAAACGCTAGCAGGTCAGCGCTACTGCGCCTGCACTGCGGACGCTGCCTGCTGTTACGGTGGCTGCCGGCAGTCTGCACCCTCAGAGGCAGGAGCTGCAGATGAACGTGCGGAGGAGGAGGCAGGTCGTCTGTGAATTTTCGGGAATCGTGTTTGATCATTGTTACCATGTTGGTTACCAACCTCGTACACGTCAGCATTCATTGGAGAAAACCGAGGCGAGGTCCAGGCAGGCGGGAGACGGCGGGCAGCGGGCTGCCTTGCATTATCGAGGCCTGTTGGAGAGAATGAAAGTACACGTCTTTCCAATCTGCAGGACCCCAGGGGTACAGGGCAGGGTGGGGTGGTAGATTATAGCTCTTTTGGTGCCCTGGGCACAGCCCTCGCTCTCCCTGTGGATTCTGCAACACTTAATAACAGTCATGACGGCGACTTCCCAAGCCAGCCGCGGCGGACGAGCTCTGCCTGCCAGCTCGGGGTGCTGACCGCTTCCCCGACCCTTGGAGAGAGAAGCTCGGGGGGCACGAATGGCTGATGTGCCATGGCAGCTTGTGCGAAAGGCAGCTTTATCTTGTGCGTGTGCTTGTCTGAGTCAGAGGTTCCCTGGCCCTTGAGGAGGCACGATGTCCCGCGGCGGCACACACGGGGCGCCGGGCTTCCATTGGGAACGCGCATTTCCAGCGCCCGCTGCTTGCGCAGCACCCTCCACGCGGCCCCAGCATGGTTCTCATTTGCGCGGCTGCCTGTCTCTCATTTAGACACCTGTTTCTATTTCTAGGTCTTTGAGATCTTTGATTAAGATCAGGCTTTCTGTGCTTTCATAAGTGCCCTCTGGCAGGATAGTCCTCGCTAGTTCTTTAAAGTTCCTGGCTTTTCAATCATGCAGTTTCACCCTGGGATAATTAGAATTCTTAAAATTCTTAAATCCTTCCCCAGCATTCTAGCTAAGTGTGTAGTCATGGGAATTCAAGTGTGTATAATAATACAAATCCTGCCTTCTCATGGGATTTTTCGCGGTGGACCTTCCAGCTTGTTAAAGGTTGCTCACTGACCACCAGTTTAAGTGGTGGGACTGGACCCGTTTCTTCACATCCAGTAGGTATTGCTCCCAACAGGACTGACAAGGAAATCTGATGTTTTGAGAACATTAACTCTTTACATTTTCAGGAAGCAACAGAAATAGAAGCCCTTTGCCGTTGATTGTGTTGCAGAAATCCCTGCGAAGGGGGCCTCTCTAGCTGGTACGAGAGACTAACAGCTTCGCTGTACCTGCCGCCGCCCTCTGGGAAATGCTTTTTTACTGCGAGTAGAGTTAGCGCAGCAGGAACGCCAGGGAAGGGAGAGAGTTTGGCCCTTGCTGCCCGGAAGTGGTTAGCCCAGCGCCGCGTGCCGGGGTCCTGTCATCCTCGGTGGCTGCTGTGCACAGGACCCTGCTCACGTCTCGTGAGGCCTGAATTGGATTTGTGACCCCCACTTTTCCCCACACATGCGCAGCTGCCGTAAGTGACGCACAGCTGTACTGCTAGGTGACCGTATCCGCTCCCACCCTTGTCCTTTTTCCCGGTCCGCCCGCTAGCTTCTGTCAGCCTGCACCGCCCTGTCTCCAGAGCCGCCAGGCTGCTCTTCCCTGTGAAGGCCCCTGTGGGCCGGGGCCTAGCTATGGGGACGCCGCCCGGCCGCTAGTAGCCAGGTGGGTGACTTCCGCCCTGGACGTGCCTTCTCAGGCTCATCCAACCGAACCCGAGTAACAGAACTCCCTCAGGTCACCTGTTCGGTTGATTGTTACACAAAAACCACGACTACTACTTGATTGGCCTAAAGGCCCGGGCTGGACCCGCCCGCGTGTGCCTTGCTGCAGCGCTTGTAACACACTTAGAGCCTGGCCTACCTGTCCAGCTCAGGTGCGCCGCGGGAGACGGGCCTTCCGGTGCCAGAGCCAGGTCCTGGAGCCGGAGCTGACCGTGGGGGTGGAGTCCAGGAGGAAGAGGACTCAGCTGCCAACTTCTCTCTCCCCTTCCCTTGTTCTTGTTTGACCTTTTCAAACAAGAACAGAGTGATGAGACCAGCATGTAGGGTGACAGGGTAGGATTCCCCCGCCTTGAATGTGAAGGCAGTAAGCGGGGGAGGCCCGCCCTGGGGCTGGGGGGTGCAGCCAAGGTCTGGGCTCAGGTCCCCCTGCAGCTCTCCGCTGCCAGGCACAGCTCTCCTGCAAGATCTGGGAAGATGAGAAAGTACTTGGAAACTGCTTGGGTGGGAGGTGCCCGAGGCAAGACGTGTGCAAACAGCTGCCAAGCAGCGCAGAGCTGTAAGCTGTGTAGACGCCCCTGGGTGCTGGCTGACACGCCGGCCTGCGTGACGGAGGGGAGCAGCGTGTTTGCAGGACACGCAGCTGCATCCTCTAGTGGGTGCTGCAGGGCGCGCCTCTCACCTTGCTCCTGGTGATAAGGCAGCTGAAAACGGCAGCCTGGCCGGCCGCCAGGGTACACACTGTGGCTGCTGAGCGTGCAGGTGTGACGGGCAGGTGAGAGACACGGACAGACTGACCTCCGATGTCTGTCCTTGCGGCTCGTCCGGCGACGACGTGTCTGCGTGCGTGTCGGGCAGGGACAGAGCCTGCGGGGAGGCCCTCCTTCCTCAGGCGTCAGGGACACGTGCCCGGCCGTGGTGTCAGCGAGGGCCACGTGGGCCAGGCTCTCGGTCATGTGCCTGCAGGAGAGACGGGGTGGGGGCCGCGAGCGGCTGACTCAGGGGGCTCTGCTTGGCCGCGGCGTTTTTCCCCCGAACAGGAGAGAGAAAGTGAAGTCCGGGTTTCACTTTGGCTGCTCGGCTCCAAGCCTTGTGAGGCAGGGGTCTACGGGTGCCCCCTCTCAGTGTGGCGCTGTACTTACTCTTGTTTGCCACCCCCCAGTGGCACGCCCTGTCCCGGGAGGAGCAGGCGAAATACTACGAGCTGGCGCGGAAGGAGAGACAGCTGCACATGCAGCTCTACCCCGGCTGGTCTGCGAGAGACAATTACGTGAGTATCCCCGCCACGGCCGGCGCCGGCGCCGGGGCCTGTTCGTGAGAAAGCTCATTACTTCCCCGAAGGTGCCAGGGGGACAGTGCATGTTGTAAGCTTCCTCTCCTGGCGGCCCGTGGGATTAGGGAGACATGAGTAACCCCGCCGTCCTCCGTTGGCCGAGGGGAGCTCTTCTGTGACCCCGCGGATGCCCGAACCAAGCCCCCGGGCCTGGGCTAAGGGTCCCTGCCGTCACAGACGGTGCGTGGACGTGCTCTCGCAGGCAGCGCGCACGTAAGGTTTCCGCACCGCCAGCGCGGGCAAAGGGAGATTTCTGCAAGTAGTTGCCTCCACCTAGTGTGTTTTTCCATTTGGATGTGTGTGTACGGACACGACAGTGTGCTTGTGCTGAGGCCGGCCTTCCGCAGCGGGGCCTTCTGTGCGGCCCACGTCCCCCTGGGTCCTTTGGATGACTGTTGAATACTTCAGCGGGAGGACACGGCCTGAGACGTCTGAAAGCAGGGGCAGTGGTTAAGGTGCTTCTTTTACAGCTGGACCTACTTGTGCAACGCACATCACGTGTGTAGGGCTGTTCCTGCAGGACAGTAACAGCAGCGGCTTTGTGGAATGGAAGAGAGAACTAGTGCAAGACTCACGACACGTAGGGTCGTTGTAGGAGTCTTGCAACGAGGAATCTGACGGACTTTTCCCACAGACTAATGAGAAGTGGGTCCAGTTTCCTGCTCCAGGTGAATGTCCCCTGCTTCCTATGACGTATGTTAGCCCGATGGAGCAGGGGCTGCAGTGGCCAAGGGGTTCCTGGTAAGGAGGACCTCACTGATAGGCCAGCCAGGCATTTCCGCACAGCTTGAGCATCTGACTGACGTAGTCTTGTCTACTGCTGAGCAGCTGTATGATGATGACACTTCGCTTTTTGGTATTTTATAGAGATGAGTAATTTATTTAAGCTCTTGATTTCAAAACCGGAAGGTAGTGCCCATGCTCTGTGGGAGACCAGCCTCCAGCATGCCGGCTGGGCTGGCCGCCAGAGGAAGAGCCATTGTCCCTTTGCAAGGGGCCGTGAGCTCGACCTCGAAAGTGTGTGGTCAGTGCCCGAGGAACACCCCCTCGAGGGGGCACTGAGTAGGTACTGGAGCCCCCCGTGAGCCCATGAAAGGTGGAGCGGCACGGCCAGGGCCGGGAGAAACGAGGACTTCTGCCCCGGGTCCGGCTAGGACAGGGGGTCTCGGGTCCCTGACAGGACCTTGCCTCTCTCCTTCCAGGGTAAGAAGAAGAAGAGGAAGAGAGAGAAACTGCAGGAATCGACATCCGGTAAGCCTGGCCGGACGCCCTCCCGCCACCCCTGCTGCTGTCCCTGTGGCGCCTCCCCTCTGCAGGCTCGACAGCCCCTCCTCGCCCTGTCACCCGGAGTCCCCGCCGTGACCTGTGCTTTTGCTGTGTCGGTTCTCTTCGCTGTAACACTCCTGCTTGGTTTCCGTGTGCACAAGTCCTTCCGAAGGACGGTTCTAGGCGTGCCGCCCTGCCTCCCCGCGGGTCTTCTGGGGGCCGGGCCTTGAGGCGCAGCAAACCTGCCGTTAGGGCTTCTGTTTCCAGTACGGTAACTCAAGGCAGCAGTCGCCGAGGTCCTAGTTATTCCCCCTTCCTCTGAGGCCACTGCCTTGTGCCGCCCAGGCGGAAGTGGTGGCATCAGAGCCAGAGAGGAAGGGCAGCGAGGCCGCGGGAGCTTGTAGCCACTACGCGTTTGCAATGTGCGACCCTCTTCCTTCCACGTTGGTTAAAGCCACGATTTTCTGCAGGTACAGGTCCCCGAATGACAGCTGCCTACATCTGAGACATGGTAAGAACGACCCCTGGTCCTCCCGCCGACACGGGGCATGGGGGCGCAGCTGCGGCCCTGCGGGGGGCACCGTGCACACGCTCTTGCTTGAAATCCCGACCCTGCGCCCAGCCGAGCCGGCGCTGGCGTGAGGAATACGGGGCTCCGCGGCCGAGCGCCCAGGTTTCTCAGTGACCACACACACAGGCGTGCGTCCAGCCTGGGGCCCGCACCCATGGCCCCTGGCTCGGCTGCCTCCCGCTGGGGAGCCCTCAGGCCCGTGCTGAGGACCCCGCGCTGCTCGCTCACTCCCCTGGGCTCTCGTTCCCCATTAAAAAGCGCCCAGAGCCGAGGTGTGACCGTGGAGTGTGGTGCTGGGCTCTGCGCCCGAGACCGCCCGCCCCGCCGAGCCTGCTCCTCCCGAAAGGCGCTTTTCTCCAGGTTGGCTGTGCCCTCGGCCCGCGCAGACACCCCCGGCCCCTCCCGGGCCTGCAGGCTGTGGCCTCTGTGCCTGGCGGGGCCCCTTCCCCACGCAGGATGGGGACACAAGGCTGGCGGTGGCCGCCCAGGCCGCAGGGGGTGGGGGAAGGCACGACCCCATCGGTCTGGGCCCGCAGGGAACTGCAGCCTCGGCCGTCTGCAGGGGCCCCAGGCCCACCAGGTCCCGTGGGGCAGCCTCCCCACGGAGGGGTACCTGTGCCACTGCAGGAGAGAGGAGAGGAGAGAGAGCGGAGCTGTGAGCAGCCTCCCATGTGGCTGTTGTGCGGAGCGGCTGTGTGTGTTGCTGGGGCGCGGGGAGAGCTGCCCCAACAAGGAGTTGCTGTGGGCGGGAGGCTCCGTCCCGGGGAGCAGAGCAGAGCCCAGCACAGCCTCAGCCCCAGGCGGGGGTCACCTTGATGGCTGCAGCAAGGCTGGGGCTGCCCCGTGTGTCTCTCTCTCTCTTCTCCGCCCTGCCCCCGCCCAGCGCCCCGGAGCCTGCCCCGGAAGGCATGTTGCCCGTGTCCCGGGAGGCCGGCGGGGCGGCCGCTGGGGAGAGGAGGGGGTGCGTGTGCAGGACCCGGGGCCCTGTCAGCCGTGCTGTGCTCCCCGCGGAGGGTGCCTCCTAACTGGCAGCCTTGGGCGCCCGCCCCACTGTGGCCCGGGCTCCGGCGCTGTCTGCTGCCCGCGGCCACCTACCATCCCTGCGCGTCTCCCCGCGTCCCCCCACCCGCATCCACGCGGGGCGCTCAGCCCGTTCCCGTCTTGGCAACCGTGGCCGCGCACAGAGGAGCCGGGGGGGGGGCAGGAGGCTCGCCCGCTGGTCCACCCGTGGCCCGGGCCTCTGCACCCAGTGTCCGGGGCCCGCAGACCCGCCGCGGGGGGGGGGTCGAGCTCGTTGTCCCGCCAGCTCTCCGTAGGCGTCCGGGGTGGGACGCCCGTCCCTGGGGCTGCTGGAGGCCGGAGGCTCGCGGGGAGGGGGACAGGCAGGTGGCCTGACTAGGGCGACTGCATCGTGGGGCGTCCCTCCTGCTCCCAGCAGAGCCGCAGGCCGACGGCCTTCATGGCACATGCCCCCCGAGGCGGCCGCTGGAGTCCCCGGTGAGGTCTCGGGGTGGGGGGGGCCCTGCCCTGTGCGGGCCCCCGGTGGAGCGAGGCCCCCGGCCTGCTCAGCTTCCAGCACCGGGCGCCTTCCACCCTGCCTGTCGTCCTGCACCCGCACGAGGGACCCGCCGCCCCCGCCGTGCGTCTTGGCAGACATCCCGCCCGCCGGCCAGGGCGCGCAGCTGAGGCGGGGCCCCGGCAGTCAGGGGCCTCTCCCTGCAGTCGGGCAGGCAGCTCCCCCGTTGAGAGCGGGGTGCGGGGCTCCAGGGCGCTCCCCTTCCCGTCATCGGCGCCCCGTCTGCTCACAGGCTTCTCTGTCCCTCGGCTCTGCGAGCAGCTCTCTTCACCGCGGCTTCGGGGGCTCCCCTTGGGGCAGGTCCCTGTTGCTGACAGGGGGAGAGGATGTCCTGAGCTCATGCCCCACAGGCTGTGCGGGCCCCACCCCCTCCCCAGGCCAGAGCCTTGCGGACATGGGGAGAGACACAGCCCGGCCCCAGCCAAGGCAGGGGGGCTGAGGCCTGATCCCCTTCCCGCGCCAATAAACCTTAGGAACGTGTGGCGCGCCTGCAGCGGAGCACGGAGACGGCCTTGTAAGCGCGGGGGAGGACCCGCAGCCAGGCTCCCCGTTTTGCATCGGGGCTGCCCGCTCACAGTTCTACATAGATGTCTTCATGTCAGGATAAGCCCTGCATTCGGAAAGTGGGGGTGAACGACGGAACATGGACACATCGTGGGGAGGACCCAGGGTCTGGGTGGGGGAGGCAGGATCGGTGCTGGATGCCCACGGCCGGCTCCTCAGGGAGGGGAGAGAGACAGGGGGTCGGGGGGACATGGAGCACGCTGGCCGGGAGTGAGAACCTCCCGTGTCTGTCCGGAGGTCTCTCGCACGCTTTCCCTGGCATCCAAGCACACGGGTCGGTGTGCATGAACAAGCCATGGTTTCGTTGCGTTGGCTTGTCCGTGAGACTCCCAAGAGCAGGATTCCTCCTCGCCCGACGGGAAGGAGGCGCTCCTGGCGACGGGCAGGCAGAGACGGGCTGTCAGAGGCACCCACACGGCTGCTGGGAGGGGGAGAGGCTGTCCCGAGCTCATGCCATGCAGGGTGTGTGGACGCCACCCCCACGCCAGACCAAAGCCATCAGGACATGGGGAAAGACACAGCCGGTCCCCACCCAAGAGAAGGAGGCTGGGACCCGAGGGTGCAGGGAAGCCGCCAGGGTGGGTATCAGAACCAGACACGTGGGCCTGGGGGGCTCGCTCTGTCGCTCGCCTCCTGGCTTCACGGCTCCCGGCTGGCGGCAGCTCTCAGAGCGCCCTGTGGGATGCCTGATGGGGCATCGGGCAGGACGCATGTAAGACTATGTCTCCCACTCTCTCCGGGAGCTGTCCTCCCTCACTTCCCCTGCCCTCGTCAATGAACCTTTTCTGAACCCTGGCGTGCGCCTGCAGGAGAGTTCTGAGGAGGCCTTGTCAGCGCGCGGGGGAGACCCGCAGCCAGGCACCCGGGTTGTATCGGGGCTGCCCGACAACACGACCACCGCTTTCCAACAGCAGGCACTTGCAGCGAGGCGTCGTGCCACCCACCAAGGCGCGCGGCCTGGCAGTCAGGAAGGAGCGACATGGGGAGGCTGGGGGGGCTGGGCACCCCAACGGAGGGCTGTGGGCCGAGCTGCCCAGCATGGGGGCTCCCCCTGGGCAGCACCACACCACAGTGCTCGTGGGGCTGAAAAGACCAGGCCCCCGGGCACTCCGGCCCCCACAGGGCGCAGCGGGCTCTGCCGGTGTCCTCCGTGCCCGGGAGGCCGCCGCCCCGCACGGCGCAGCCGGAGCCACATGCACCCGCTCACGCGGCCTCCAGGGCCCGGGGCGAGGCCGTGAGCGTCCCCAGGCGCACGGGGAGCCCCAGCGGGCCCCGGAGCGCGGCCCGTGGGAAGCGGGTGAGGCCCGCGAGGGGGCCCAGCTCGCTCCCATTAACGGCCTGTCCTCTGTTCCTTCCTGAGGTGGAAAACGAAGCTCCTTCCCCACGTGCAAAGCCAAGGCGGCGCCCCCGGGGCCCCTGCTGGAGATGGAAGCTTGCTGAAGCCAGCTCAGCCGCCGGAGACTGAGACGACACCCACGAGCCGCCGCCCACAGACAATCACTGCCACCCCGTCGGCAGAGCCCCCCCATACGGCCTGACGTCTTCGGCCACCACCACCCCGGCCCCGGGCGAGGCCCCAGGCTCCGCTCCACAGGGAGGCCCCAGGCCCCGCCTCGCCCCGGGTCTCCCCCTTCTGCCCGCAGCTTCTATTTAACAGCGCGACGCGTCCATCTTGGGTGGGCTTCCTTTCTGTTTTTTTTAAACTTGAACTGTGTCCATTTGCTCTTTCGTTTCCATGGCCGTCTGCTGCGCTAGCTCTCCGCTTTCCACACGCATCACAGCCCTGGGCGACAGGACGCCACGGAGGCCTTTCTCGCGCCCCACGGCGGCTCCGCTCCCGGCCCTCCCGGCCGCTCCTGCCCACGAGGGCCGGCCGCGCCCCGCTCCGCGGACCGGGTGCAGTGACGCTCCTCTCCCCCCCTCGGCCCCTGTACAAAGCCCAGCCCTTGAAGCGCCCCCGGCCGCGGCCTGTCCCCGCCCCTGTTTTTATTAGCCGAGTAGTGGGATTTTATGCCAGTTGTTGAGACGCGCGTCGCCGTGCCTGCCCATTTTTTAACTAGCGAGGCCCAGCCTTGGCCCAGCCGCCCCCTGGTGTGTGTCGTTCCAGTTGGAGTTCACGTGCTGAGCATTTTTTAAAAGAAGCTTTGTAATAAAACAGTTACAGAAACAGGTCTCGGCCTTTCTCCGGAGCGAGCGCGGCCCGCTCCCCCGCCACAGGCGCTGCGGCACCTCCAAAGAGCCCCGATTTAAAAAAAAAAGCCCCTCCCAAAAGGGAAGAGGCCCAGCGGGGAGCGGAGGGCCGTCCGCAGGGCCCCTGCCGGCCCCAGGACCCGTGCTCCCCCGGGCGCAGGTCTGGGCCCGCTGCCGGCCGCAGGCCGGGGCCGCCTCCCACTCGCGGTCCGCACCCGGGACCCCAGGCCAGCCGGGCCTGGCACGCCAAGGCTTCCGCTCCCCCTGGCCCCGAGTCAGCCTTCCAAATGGGGAGCCGGCGTTCCATCCTGTCCTCGCAAACTGGCACCTCCTCGTCCGCACACCGGCATTTCCTGCGCGACCCCGGCCGGGCCCAGCCCAGAGCACCGCGACCCCAGGGCCTCCCGCGGGGGTTTCCCGCCCTGAGCCCCTTGCAGAGCCACCAGCGCCACTGGCCTAACTTCCGTCTGGCGCTCCAGTGCTGGTTCCTTCTCCCCCGCCTTCAGCACAGCTGGGGAACAGCTGCTCCCACACGCCGCAGGCTGCCCTTGCGGAGGGCCATGACTCGCCCGCACATGTCCCCTCTCCAGGCGAAGCTCCCCCCATGCCGTCCAGCTGTCATCATCAGCCCTTTCATCACTTTCCTGACTGCCCTGGACGCGCTCCAAGTCTCCGCATCGGGTCCCACCGGGAGCCGGGGGGGGTCTAGGGTGCGCAGGGGACCCGCGGGCTAGAAAGCTTCCCTGTTGCTTCACAGCTCTCCCCCCACATTCCTTCACTGACGCAGCCGAGCAGTCGCAACCGCCGGAGGCGGGGACCACGATGGTGTCCCACAAAAGGGTAGCAGAGGGGGCAGGAAGTGTTACTTTTGGGGAAACAAAGTCACAGCTCATCGGTGGGGCCTTCTGGGTCTTAGGAAGCCAACCGGTGCCCCATCATGCCTCAGTGACCAGCAAGGACAGCGGCAGAGGCGAGGGAGAGCCGGCTGGCCTGGCCGCGGCCCTGCTGCTCTCTACGGAGAACGCGGGGAGCGGGGCGAAGGCAGCAGCTGGTGGCCCTCGAGCAGCTCCGGGCACGCCCTGGGCCCCCCCCCCCTTCCCAGGGCCGATGCCACCCGCCGTCCTGCCGGCTGCTCTGCCGGGGCGCTCCGCGCGGGCAGCAGGCCGGGGGCCCCTGCAGGGCAAGGCCCGGCGGCCACCCCGGGAGCCCGGGTCGGAGGGGCCCCGCCTGCCAGCCCGAGGCCAGAAGGCCCGGGCAGCCGCCCCTCTGAGCGCCCGTCAAGGGTTGTCTGGTTGCCAGGAGCCACCCGCCCCCTGGCAGGGCCTCGCCCGCCGGCGGCAGCTGGGCGCGTGCAGCGGCTCCCTCTGGCTGACGCGCGCGGAGCCCTCGGGGACCCCGTCTGCTGAGCGCGAGCGGGGAGTCCCGGGCACCACCGCCGCGGAGGGCGCCGACTTCTAGGGTACACCCCCCCCGACACGCGCGCACCCCCCGACACGCGCGCACCCCCGCGCCGCCAACCACGCGCAGGTCTGCGGGCTGCTGCGCACAAACCCCACATGCCCGGCCGAGAGGGCGCACAGCGCGGGGCGCCCGCGGGGGGCCACGAGCCCGCCTTCCGCAGCGGCGCCGGCCGGGGAGGGCTCGAGGGCAGCCGCGCCCCGCAGGGAGCCCCGAGGAGCCACACGGGGCGACCAGCTTCACCTCACCCGCCCGGGGCACCGTCCGCCCCTCGCTGGGCGGCGCCGGGGCGGGCACCGCCCTGCGGTGGCTGCCGCGCGGCCGGGACCCCAGGGCGGGCACAGCCGGACGCGAAGCCCGTTCCCGCGCGCGGCCTGGCCGCCGGGCGACCCCCCGCGGGACGGGCAGCACCGACGGCGCCGCCCGAGCAGCCAGGCCCGGCGCCCGGTCACGGCCGGGGACGTGCTGGGGAGACCACGAGGCGCCCACGAGCTCGCGCGGCGTCGCACGGGCCCTGGCACCGGCGCTTCCAGGGAAGCGGCATCCAACACACCCCCCGACCGCCAGCCGGGAGCCCCGCGGCGCGGCTGCTGAGGAAGGAGGAGCCCCTAGCCGGCCTCGACCCCCCCCCCCCCCCGCAGGGCCGCGCCGTCCGCCTCCCTTGCCCAGCCCGCCCACCGCAGGCTACAGGCGCCCGGGCCGCGCTGGCAGGGGCGCCCGCCAACCCCCAAGTGACGCGCCCATCTGGGGGCGCGGGGCAGGCCCCCGGCCGCTCCCACAGGGCCCGCTGACAGGGCCAGCGCCCCGCCCCGGGCGGCGAGGACCCACAGGGACACGGGGAGCGCCTGCCACCCGCACGCACGGGGGTGGGGGGCCGCCAGGAAAGGGGCGCGCCTTCTCACCAGCATGACAAGGAAACGACCCCCACAGGACAGCCCGCCACCTGGTGAGTCGGGCGTCCACTGACCCCCTAAAGGCAGAATCGAGGGAGCCACGCCGGTGGCGGGGAGTCCCGCACACGCACAGCGAGCGGGGCCGCCCTGCACCCCCATCCGCCCCAGCCCGGCCTGCGCAGCCCCCAGGGCAGGGCCCCGCCAGAGGGGGGTGATCGGGAGGGGGCGCGGGGGTGCAGGTGGGGACCTGGGGTTTGGAGTCACACGGAGCTGGCCCCGCCGCAGCCACACTGCGGGGTGCAGAGCGTGCTGCCCCCCACACATGCTCCTGGGGGCAATGAGCTCGCCCGGAAGCACACAGGGAGCCCCCTTGAGTGACCCCGGCTGCACTCGTGGGGACACGGGCGCTGTGTCCGCCCCAACTTGATGTTACCAGACGACGGCGCTCGTCCGGCCCCCGGGAGCAGCCGGTGACCAGAGCCACCAGTCGCAGGGAGGGCACCGGGCACCTTCCCGGGCACCGCGCCCACGACACGGACATGCAGGAGACAGGCGGGCATCGCCCTGTCCCCGAAGCCGCGGAGAGAGACGGACATGAGCCCTTGGGAAACGCAGGCCACGCCACGCGGACCTGCTCGGCCCTGCCAGGACGCGCCCCGGAGCTCAGGGACCACCGTGGGCCTGCTGAGGGCACCGTCGGGCGGGACCCACGGCCCAAGCCCCGCCCCGGCCCAGCCAGGACACTGCAAATTCCTTGAGGCGTTTTCCTGACAGCAGGGCGGGCCCAGGCCCAAGCCAGGGACTGGGAGCTCTGACAGGGGAAACTGGACCCCACAAGTGGGTGAGTGCCATTGGCCACTGAAAGCCCCTCGGAAGACATCCAAGGAAAGCCAGGTGGGGCCAGGCTGGACTCCAAAAAACCCCAAACAGCAGAAAGGACTTCAGCGCAAACTCACATCCCCCGGGGAAGGCAGCCCCACCCAGCCCTGCTGAAGCGCGGGCGGGGCCGGGGCGGCCAGGCGGGCGCCGTCGCATTAGGTCGGCTCACGGGTGTCCACTGCACGCACAGCGCCGCCTGCGAGCCAAGTGAGACACCATCGCACACCGAGAGCCTGGTGGGCCCGACCTTGCTCTCCCCACCCGGAGGCCCAAGCGTCACAGATCAGGACCCGCAGCGGACAGGAACAGCCAGGAGGCGGGGAGGAGGCGAGGACAGTCTCAGCACCTGCTGCTCATCCCGGAACAAAACAAGGGGTGGAGGTGACCACCCAGACCCCCTCTTACCTCCGCCACACACCAAGGTAAACTGACAAGAAGACAAAGATGAATCCCTAGTGTCCCCCCCCAGCCCCCCACATACACACGCACAACAGCTACAAATAAGGCAGCGCAGATGCAGAGGACTCGCAACACAAGATGGAAAAGCAGAGTGAGAAAGACAAGTCTCAGAGACGGAAACAGAGGAGCATCTGATGACTTCAAAATAACAGTAAAAATGTTCAATGAGGTACTGGAAGGTCAAAGCCCAAGAGACGGGCCAAACCTCACAAAGGAGACCCAGGAACACAGTTTTTTACTAAAAAGAATGAACATAATATGTACTATGAGGCCAACATTACCCTGAGCCCCAAACCAGAGACAGGGCAAAAAATGATTATAGACCAATAGCCCTGATGAACAGAGATGCAAAAATCCTCAACAAAATCCTATCAAAGCAAACACAGCAACCTATCCAGAGCATCAGCCACTGCGACCAAGAAGCTGCCATCCCAGAGATGGAAGCCCAGTTCCACACATGCAAAACGGAAGATCAAAACCACATAATGATCAACACATGTAAACAAACAAAAACAACCAACCAGTTGATAAGATCCAGCATCCATTTATAATGAAAACCCTCTTAAAAATGGGAAGAAATGGAGCGTTGGGCCTCCCTGGTGGCGCAGGCGGTTGAGCGCCCGCTGTGAAGCTGCCCGCAGCCTCTGCAGCACCGCTTCAATCCCGGCCAGCCGGCGAGGGTCCCACATGGCGCGGCAGACCTCTCCTGTCTCCCCCGCTGCTCCCCTCAGCAGTGTATTTCATCGGTCTGTCTGTTCCGTTCCCCGCTCTGTCTCTGGTGAATCCTCTCCTGCCCACGAATCTGCCCTGTACCCCGGTTCTGTATAAATAAGTCTTTAAAAAAAAAAAATTGGAGCGTATGTAAATGTCATAATGGCCATATAGGACAAACCAACAGCCAGTATCACACTAAATGCTGAAAAGGTGAAAGCACTTCCACTAAGATCTGAAACAAGCCAGAGAGGTCCACTATCACCACTCCTATTTAACACAGCCTGAAAGTCCTAGCTGGAGCAGTTAGGCAAGAAAAAGACATAAAAGGAATCCACACTGGAAAAGCAGAAAGGACAGTGTTACTATTCTCAGGTAGCATGCTAACACACTGAAAGAAACCAAAAGATTCTAAGTGAATACAGTTAAGGTGGCAGGATGAAAAATAAATCAATCCATGAAATACAGTGACATATCTATATGCCAACAATGTATCAGAAAAAAGGGAAATGAGCAACACAGTTCCATTTGTAATCACCCCAAAAAGAATAAGATACCCAGGGGAAAAAACAAAGGAGGTGAAGGGCCTGTGCAATGAGAACTATAAAACTTTATTAAGGAAATAAAAAGACAAAGAAGTGGAAAGATTTCCTGTGCTCATGGGTAGGAAGAATTAACATTAAAATGGTCATGTCAGGCCTCCCTGGTGGCGCAAGGGGTTAAGATGCAATCTATGAAGCTGCCCGCAGCCTCTGGTGCACGACTTCGATCCCCAGTCAGGGAGCGACCCACATGGCGCAGCAGACCTCTCCTCGCCCGCTGCTCCCCTCAGCAGTGTATTTCAGTCAGTCTGCCTGTTCTGTTCCCCACTCTGTCTCTGGTGAATCCTCTCACCATCCACCCGCCCCCCACCCCACCCCTGCCACCTCTGGCTTGTATCCCAGTTCTTGCATGAATAAGTTAAAAAAAAAAAAAAAAAAAAAAAAACCCTAAAAAAATCAAATAAAATAGCCACATTACCCAAAGCAATGTAGAGGTTGACTGCAATACCTATTCTAATACCAATGACTTTAAAAAAAAAAATAGAGTACACAATTACCAAATTTATATGGAACCACAAAAGGCCTAGAACAGCCAGAACAATCTTGAGAGAAAAGAATAACATTGAGGCATCATACTTCTGACCATTAAACAATATTACGCAGCAAGAATAATCAAAACAGTACAGTACTGGAACAAAACCAAACTCAGACCATTGGAACAGAATTGAAAGCCTAGAGCCAAATCCACATGAGTACAGACACTATTTTGGATAGCAGAATAATGCCCACACAATGGGAAAAAGTTAGCATTTTTAATACATGGTGCTGGGAAACATGGAGAGTCACATGCAAAAAAAAAAAAAAAATTTCACCATACATGAAAATTCAGTCAAAATGGATTAAAGATTTAAACTTAAGAACCAAAACTACAGATCCCACTCAGCACTCTGCTGCCCCAGCCTGGGCCTCACAGAGCCTTGCTGCACATCCAGGACCCTCAGCAACCCCTCATTGAGCAGCCCTGATTCCAGGCCCAGCTGCCAGCTCCTCAGGAATAGACAGAGGCCCGAGTCAACCTTGCAGGACCGAGCTATTCACCGTTGGCCCTCAGTCATACCAGGAAGTGCACCCCACTCGGCCTGCTGGCACCCCCCAGCAGATCAAGCAAGGCCTGAGCCTGTGCCCCACAGGGCCTTGCTCTGCATCCGGCACCCTCAGCATCCTCCTGGTAGGCACCCTTACTCCATGCTCAGCCACCAGCTACTTGGGAACAGAGTGAGGCCCAAGTTACAATCCTGCAGGACCTAGCTATTCACTGCTGGCCCCCGCCACACTGGGCCCTCTAAGGGCTCAGCCATGCAGGGCCTGCAAGCCTCTGCCCTGGCCACCGGAAACAGGCCCTGAGGTACCATTCCCGGGTGAGGTGAAATCCCAACAACTCAGCATCACCCCCTCCCCCACCCCGACCTCCCAGAACAAGGCTCAGGAGAGCTTTGGGGGAGGCTCTAGCACCACCTCAGATCCTAAAAAGAACCCACTAAGTAGCTGTACCTAACATCAAGTAAACAGCCAGAACAGTGGGGCAGAAAGACTCATACAACAAAAGCCCCAACTACAGCAGAGCAAACCCAAAGCCAGACAATGACAGAAAGAAAGATACAAATAACCAAGAAAACCCTCATGGGAAAAATACACCACAGAGAGAAAACCATATTCTAGAACACAGGAACAAAGTCTCCAGAAATTCACTATTACTAAACTCTACTGCAATAAATGGTACAAGAAGCCTTAGGTACGGACAAAAATAACTAAACAAGGTCTTGAATAGAACCACAAAACAATGACCCAAATGGCAGCAACAGACTTGCATGTATCAGTACTCCCGCTGACCGGTAATGGTCTAAACCAACACAAAGACGCCAAGTAGCACACTGGGCGAGAACACAGAATCCCACCCTCGGCTGCCCACAGCAATCACACCCAAGTTGCAAAAATAAACATAGCATGAAAGTAAAGGGTTGGAAAACAAGTCTTCCAGCCACTGGCAAGCAAAAGGTAGCAAGGGGCAGCCATATTTCTATCAGATAACATAGATTTCACGCTAAAAAAGGTGACAAGAGACACAGATGGATGCTGCAAAGTGATCAAGGGGACAATACACCAGGAAGGCAGAATCAGTATATACTCAACCAATGATGGAGCATCAAAATATATTCAACAACATCCATCACCTCTGAAAACAGACACTGGAGAAAATACACACCTGCTAGGAGACAGCAACACCCCACTCTCACCAGATCGATGAGA